ACACATATAGGCGAACAATAATTATTTTCAATTAGATCTTCAAACTTTACTCAAATTTAGATAGATTTATGTATAAAACGTTTAACCAATGATGGTGAGTTTGTGAATAAAATAATAATGATAGTGATAATAATAATATGGTGAATGTTTTGAACGTCGTTAATAAGGATGATTATAATGATAACAAAAATAATGGTGATAAGGTTAACGTACATGGTCATAAGAATAACGAAGGTAGTAATACGTGTTTTTATGTAGACTAAGCCATTTTGTCGGTGGCATAGCGGTTAGGACGCTCACCGACCATTCACATGGTCCGGGGTTCGATCCCCGGCCACAGACGCATTTCTTTACCTCGCTAAGCCACAGATAATTCTGGTGAAGAGGAAAGGTTGGGTATGAGGCTAGCAACTCGATCCTGTAAAGTAAACACCACTAAATAAACTTTAAGCCACTAGCTTGAAGCCCTATGTTCCACTGGGGAACGTGAAGGAAAAATATAATATATATATATGCATATAAAATATGTAGACCATTCAAAAAATAAATTAGGTCAAATCTTAAAAGTTACGTAATATTAAACGTGAAGTGGACAGATAATCAGAGTTTAAATAAATATCATAAAAGTATGAAGGAAACGGAAAATAAGAAAGGATGGAAGGGTTTTAATTATACTTTACCTAGGCCAGGGGAGAGACAAATGTAGAATAAACTCCCTTCGTGAGCAAAGACTAGGATTTTTCTCTCGAATTTTCATAACTTCGGCTATGCGTAAAAGGTGGGTTCGATTTCTGTTCGAAAGGCTCGATGTAGTGCGATATATAACTTTGAAGGCACTACTTCTGTCCACTTGGTGACCGCTATCAATCAAATGAACCAAAATAGAACTGGTTATAGATTTTATTTGACCTTTTTTCCGAACTATGAAGGAAGATGCTCATTAATGCGTTTGTTGGGCTGTCTAGTTGTTCGGTCTATATAGCTCTTTCCATATAAGCAACTAAATTTGTAGATACGCATAGAAATGGCACAGCTAGGTAGCGTGTCTTTCGCTTTAAAACGATAAACAAAGGGTGGCGGCAGTATAAGTCTGTTTTATTGCTCTCGATAATCTCAGTTGTATGACTCCACTAGCCAAGTCACCATTAATTTGCAATTTTAGGATTAGTTGTTTCTTTTTAACTGCTGTCACTTTCTCTTTACTATTTTGGATTTATCCTAACTCATTTTCTAGGGAGTCATCTGTACAGATTCGTCTTGCTCTATTCGTAAGGCATCTGACCGAATTGATTTTGTACCGGATTAGTACAAAATTGAGGAAATCTGTATATTGCCCTACAGATGTAGGTTTTCTATGGACATCCCTCTTGAGTGAATTACCCTCTCTTCTACTCAATTGGACATCAAGGAAGAGTAGTCCACCATCATATTCGTCTTCACAAGGGAAGATGAGCGATGGATGTGCATCAGTGAATTTTATTAAAATTCCATTTTTGTCAGCTTTCTCATCACGAATAGTAGATGTGCCGTGAAAATAACGAAAATAAGAATCCGTTTTGTCTATTACTTGTTTTATTGGACCATTTTCAAGCTTAGCAGGAAAGAAATCTGCCCAAATTGGACCCACTGGAGAACCCATCACAGTACCATCGATTTTTCTGTAATAAAGGTTGTTGAATGTGAAATATGCATTCACAACGCATTTTAGAAACAGCTCTTTCAGACTAACAACTTGAATTCCTATATAAAACTGCTTTTCTAGTATTTGTTGACATATAAATTTCAGTCTCCATAAGTGGTACACTGGCGAACAGTGATACGAGGTCTAAGAATAGCACTTGCTTTCCATTTACATTAATATCATGTATGCTAGAAATGAATCCAACAACGTCTTTAACACTATGATTTACCATATTCTTGTGTAAAAGTTGGAGGACTTCACCTAATCACTTTGCAGCTCCATGATAGGTGGAATTAGACATGTTTAGGACTGGGCGAAGGGTAAGTGCTGGTTTATGTACTTGACATAACACTTCATTGCTGATCTCACGCCCTTTTAGGACCAAAGTGGCAATTTTAAACCTCATTTAGCCATACCGGCGGCTTTCCACAGGCTCAAAACGCTAAGTTTCAGGAACAAAGGCCGGTATAAGTGATATAGAAAGGGGTGATTAGCCCAAGCGTTTCATCTTTTTGTTATAGCGAAAATATTCATTCCGACATCTATAAAACACAAAATAACTGAGCAAAGAATATCCTTTTCGATAATTTTCTCTTCTGGCTCTACAATTATATATTTATGCTTATGTACATAGAATAACCTAGAATAGTAGTCAATATCAGTATTAGTGTTTTTTAAATAATATCGATTTGTAAAGTAAAATCAATAAAATTATGGTTCATTAAAGATCCTTAAATTATAATAATATTAATCATAATAAAGATATAATAGCAACTAGAATATCAGCTGAAATTAGAAAAACTCCACAAAAATTGAGGATCATTCAAACCTAGATGGGCAAAGCAAGGGTAATGTCTGAACTAACTACTTTTGGATGCACAAATTCGGCTTCTTAATATGGATCCCCACAGCCTCAGCAATATTTAGTAAACGAAGTCTTAAGGTGAAGTTAAGATTTGTTGGTATGCGGTAAATGACTCTGAAAGCCTGGTTAACATCCATCTTGTGTTTTGTGTCCACAAGATGAGATAGAATAGCGCTACGAATAGATTTTGTTTGTCATTTACTTAACCACTCGGGGTGATATTCAGAAATCCGACGAGAAGAAAACGCCTAATTGTATAGCCTATGTAACTGGCTCTATAGGAGCATTTAAATTGGTAGATACACATGGATGAGGCAAAATTAGGCAGTTTCTCTTTCACTGCCGAACGCAAAAGAGGAGTGGTTTCGAAAACAGCGTAATTCAGTAGTAGGGAATGCTCATTTTACCACATTTCTAAGACGTTGTGTTAGTATCTTGCTGATGTTGTCCCCGAGGAACTGAATTTGTACGAATAAGGCCTTCCTTTTTCGGAACTGTTGGCGCCTTGGGCTGCTTTGATCTTAGATTCATATTCTTATCAATAAACTCTTCTGGATAACCGTTTCCACTCGACAACCGTTTAATATTGATGAGTTCCTCATCAAGACATTCATCCGAGCAGATTGCTATTGCTCTATGAATCAAGCACTTTATCAGATTGCATTTGTATTTTAGGGCTTGAAGCTGAAAAAACTACTAGTATTCTAGAATATTCTATGTATATGAGCGTATATATATAACTGTAGAGCCGGAAGAGGAAATTATCGGAAAGGATATTCTTTGCTCAATTATTTTGTGTTTCGCCTTTTTAAATCAAGTGTGTGGAAACTGTGAGTTGCATTTTAGCAAGATTAAAAGTGTACTAAATTGCTTGTCTTAGCTTATTGATTACAATTTCACTTGATACATCATCTCTTAATAGGGGTCTTATATAAAGTCGCTGCTTGTTCTCAGACGGAAAACAATTCTTTTTTGATTTTTACAGTTATGTGCTCTCTTATTAACATTTCGGGATAGTTATTATCATTTCAGGTGGGGTATACATTCTGTAGCTCATCGTCATTCACATTTTGTGTACATATCACTCTCACACTGTGTACTAGAGAGAGATAGAACAACCGAAATGTGTACTACTATTAATATGTACTTTTCCAAAGATGATTTTTTTGCGTTTCATCATTTGATCTTCTTGCAAGAAGGACATCCATGATAGTAACTCTACCCTGCAATTCTTCTCCCTCTTGTAGCTAATACTTTTGAGAACAAGATATTTAAGTTATCTAGGTTTTTGTAAATTATATATTCACAAACACACCATTCAATTATTTTACCTCCTTATTCACCTTTAACTCTGATTCATTCATTACACATTTGAAAAATATCAGTGGTTTTATCTTGACAAGGCGAATATTTCATCTAATTACACCGGAAGACGAAGAAGCCACCAAAATTCACGTAAAATCTAGTCTGAAACAGTATTCTATGGGTTACTTAATTTTATAATGCAGCTCATTTAAACCATTTTACATTTATGTACTCATTTAATTACCTCTTCATTTCATTTCTTGTACTCTCTGGCATTTTTAAATACTTTAACATATCTTTACCAGGCATGATTGGACACTAGTAACTAGTGTGACATTTCCAGCCCTTTCTTTGGTGCAGAATGAATTAAATCAGTCAAACTATCCAATACAGTCCTACAGAAGGTTAGCCGCGGGTTGAAATGGCTCAGTGGCAATGTCTGTCACTGCAGCACTGGGTGACGCAGGATCGCATCTTAGAAGAGACATGAGTTCCTTCAAGGTTGCAAATGCGTCTTACTGACGAGTGCCAGCTAGCACGAAACCTAGATCCAAAGCTTCCTGCCGATTGCTTTCAACCATCTAATAACGTCTGTACCTTCTATTCAAGAGGACTGGAGAAATAGCTTCATAGGCAATGTTAGCGTCCTATAAGGCACTACTGCATTAAGTACGCTGTACTGCTAAGAATGCCTAGTATATACGTTGAGAACTCTGTAGTATATGAAAATGAGTTCTTCAAGTAATTCCCCCACTACTATTCATATTTCTGCTATTACAGGCCAGCGTGAAAATAAAAATTAAAACGATAGATAGGTTGAAGATTCTGTGAAAAATTTCTTCACCAAGAGAAGTAATCGTGCAATATCCAATCTCATTCGGAAGCATCAACCCATTTACCATCATAATTACAAAAGGTGAAGTAAATTTTCTCTAGATTAACTTCACCCACAGCAACTTCAAAGTTTAAATGTTCCCTACAGAGATGAAAATCCCAGACAATGGTACATCGTATCTCACACGTTTGAACTCTTGTTTTCTTTATAGCGTAGACAGTGACAAGAAGATTTTTAACCAAATATCTTATTCTCATAGTATCACTATCATAATAACAATGATATATGTATATATATATATAACACAGCAACTTTACTTACATTTGTACAATTATAAGTTACATAACACTTTTTTTAAAAAAAAACGACTTGAATAGAACAGATAAATAGAAAATAAACGGAAACTCCTTTGATGATGGCAAAATGTTCATTGTGTATGTGTTCATTAAATGTATAACTCTCTAAACTATGCTTTAAATTGAAATAGTTACAGTTATTGCAAAAAGGTAAATACACACACCGAAACTTTTACCACATTTATGAAGAAAAGAAAAAATAAAGGTCATGCCTTATGTTGTTTAATCCGTTTTGACTGTCTCTCTAAGTTAAAGACAATGATCACAGGAGAAGCATTGGAACTTCAGTGTGGCGAAGTGTATGAATTATTATTAGTTATTAAGGTACAAAATCACTGGATATAATTCAAGTAAACTTGTCAGTATACATTTATGTATACATATATATATCTTTATATTTATTTATATACACAACATTTATAGGTATACTATTGGTTTGGTTTATCAATACTACTTATTTGCGCTAACAATAAGCGTATGTACTCACTCGCGTATTGTATTAGTGTATATAACAATAATAATAGAACATTATATACAATAAGAGGTTAGGAAGTTACTCAGTACGCAATTTTTGTTTATTTTCTGATATTTAGTTCTAAAATTTGAGAATAAAAATCAGTGAAAGTGACCTAGTGACACCGTAGTCATCCTGTTTAAACAAACATTGACTACCATCCTAATCTGAACAATAATTAGAAAGTAAAATCAAAATTTTGATAATATTTGGATTTGACGAAAGATATTGAATGATAAATATGCTGTACCGTAAATATTTGTATAAAAGAATTTCACGTATTCTGTGTAATCAGTAGATATCAGCAGACAAAACAGTTTGTACATGAAAGAAAGGTGTATAATTATTTGCAAAAGTAGTTAATTTGACATGTTACATATAACATATGTATTTATATATGCTCTATTCCTAGGTTTGATTGTCAAAGATATACACATTACTTCGACAGTCTACCTTTGAGTCTTGGTGATGTATTCACGGATTTTAAAGATCCCCCTGCTTCACTTGACTGAGATCCATTCTCTTGGACAAAATCATCAACACTGATTAAATCAGACTCTGCTCTTAATGATGGTTCACTAATTGTAAATTTTTCTCTAGCCTTTTCCATTTCAAACCAATAATCACATGTACACATTTCAGTCTCAGAATCACAGGGTATTGGTAATGAGTATAAATGTGGATTTGTAACACCAGAGGGGAAAAATTCTGTATTTGGATTAACAATAATATTATTATTATTATTTTCATCTTCTGAATTATTTTTCCTCGGTCGCTTTTTTTGACTTGGTCTAAACGCTTTATGATCTGATTTCAAGTGGGTAGACGGTTTAGCTTGAGAAAATATGTTTGCCTGATGCTGTTTTAAATAGGTATTTGGCAGAACTGGTCCAACACTACCTAAAACGGTTGGATTTGCAAAATAAGGGTTCATTTTCGATGACCATGCAGCATAACTTTGCAGACTAGCCAGTTGGCCTGGTGTTAAAGCAGGTGAAGGAAAAACTGTTGTCGTGTGAAACGAGGGTGGACAATGCTTAAGGTGATTTAAAATACTGTGCTTTTGTCTGGAGAAGTTTAAATGAACATTTTTATTTTCAGGAGATTGAATGGATTCATCGGTTTCAGATTCATAATTATTTGGTGATTCGTATAGACAGTTTTGCTGAATATGAGCATTGCTCGCTGTCAGATTAATCATATGATTTGGATGCTCTGCACCAACAACATTCTTATTACCGTTAGTCATTTGAACAGCAGTATCATTCATATGGGTTTGATAGTCATATTTATGTCGAGGTTGTCTGATGAAACGTTTTGTGCTCGGCACTTTAGTGCTTTGTAACCTAGGATCGAATGATAAACCTGTTTCGTTGAGTAATTCGTGGGTAAATAAATTTGCGCCTTGATTTGACCCTGGACCTACAAATGGTTGGTGATAAAACCTTGGATCCATAAGGTAATTGAAATTAGGAGTTTGTGTCAAAAGACACTGTTGTTGTCGCCTTTTATGTTGTTCAATTAGAGCTCTTTTAACTCGATTTCTTTTTGAATTTTTAATTACTGTATAATTACTTAGTAACTGTGCACTGGATGTAGCCTTCTGCTCAGGACCAAAAACTGTACGTAAGTCAACAGAAGAGCGACTTGCATAACCATTTTTAATCGCAAACAAGTTGGTTTGAAGTAATTTCTGTGGATCTTTGTTAAAAGTGTATTTTGATGCTTCTTTTACAGCAGTCACACTTGCAAGAGGATCAGATCTCCTTGAATGCTTTTCTGATAATTTTGTATCCTTCAATCTACCGAAACCCTCTACATTTGAAAATGCAGATGAATGCCCTAATTGTTGTGGGTTTTCCGTTAATCCATATAATCTACTAATTTGCTGTGGCGGCAGTGTTGAAGACGACAGACTTTTGTCTACATTTGAAGGAACACTTTGTAAATTATTATTTTTCCATAATGATTCTGGTTCTTCCATTAAACTGCATGAGTTCTGTTGATCTGAGCTATCTGGACTTGGATGCTGTTGACAAGGAAACTCTTGAAATGGTTCATAAGTTTTCCCATTAGATGATAAAGTTGTAATTGGTATTTTTGGTGAAATGAGCCATGGAGTTTGTCGAACAGGAAAAGCATTTGCTGTTTTCACTTTACTATCAGATTTTTCAAAATTTAACAACGGAATCTGAGTTACAAGATTTTGATTATTTGCCTGATGTTGTGGTTGTTGATGTTTACTTCTATGAGCTGAATGATGTCCAGAGGTTAATTCAACTAGTTCAGATTCATGGGAAGACATACGACTAACTCGTTTTTGTGAAGTCTCTGAAACTATACTGAGTCCATCGGTTGTAGATGATCGCAGACATGTAAGAAGCTTATGAATTAAGTGCCAATCTGTTGAATCAATTAGCAACTCTTGCCGTAACTTTTCCAGATCACATACAGAAAGTACAATGCCGTTTATTTTTAGTTGTTTTATTTTCGTCAAATAATTTTGCATATGAGATGGATTAATATCGGCTATGCTTGAAAATAATTCGCACACATCGTTGACAGTGAACTGATTTAGAGGAATTAAGGGACACTTTTTCTATGAAAAGAGTGGAATAAATGAAAGACATTAAGTAGACAACCCATTGTAAAGACAGAAAGTATCAATCTAAAATAAAACTATTGAAATTCTTTAAATATCACAAAACTCCAGACATTCCTTTCGTTATGATGTAACAACTTAGATTTACTAGAAAAATACACTTATTCATGCAATTATACGCCACAGCATTGCTATAAAAAGATGTTATACTAATGATAATGCACACAAAGGAGAAGCAAAACTACCTTCTAACTGCTAGACTCAGATTAGAAAAGTTTTTGTCAGTTTTAATTCTTTTCCGCGTTGATTTTATACTACTTACCTCTGGTACGTAGTACGAGCTGTATTTGTTAATCTTAACCATATCTTTGTCTGCTTCTGAAGTTTAACTCACTTGATGTATTAATAATCTATTTGGTGCATAGTCGATCATTATCTGCTCTATATGCTTTTTTTATTTACCCCTTACTATTGGAAATTTTTTGTTCGTACCCCTTTATTACATGTCTGACATTGGCTCGCTGTTTAAATTTACGCGTGGATGGCCTTTGACATAACTTTTCTGTTTTTTTCTTATTCACACACACTGAGTGGGCTTTTGACCACATTGAGGCAGAGATACCTCACAAATGAAGTGCTTATGTTGTATTTCATTACTATTATTATTTCATTTAATTCCTAGAAGAACATAGGGCTTCCGCCACACGTCTCCATTGCCTTTGGTTCTATGCCAGAGTTTTCACCTGGCTCCAAGTCTGTCCACATGCTTTCATCTCCTCCTCACATAACCTCCTCCATGTCACCCTCACACTGACGAACAACTCGCTGCTTCCCTTTCGGGTTCCACTCGAGCAATGGCTTGTCTAGTGATGTCACTTGATGGTTTCCTCAGAGTATGGCCAGCCCATCCATCTCCATTTCTTCCTGCCTATTTGTTTCACAATCGGTTCCTGCTGGGTTGGTTCGCTCATTGCCAGAGATCCCTATTGCTGATCTTTTCTGGCTATCTGATCTGGAGTACTGAGCAAAGGCAGCTGTTGATGAAGGTCTGTAGTTTGTTTGAGCCTGTCTTCATGAACTGCCAAGTCCCTGATCCCTTAGTACCACTGACTTCACATTGGAGTAGAAAATCCAGATCCTATTTTTCATGCCGAGTGCTTAGTGTTGACCTCCACACAGACTTTAGAGTAATGAAAGCTTGTCTTGCTTTCCCAATCCTCACTGATTTGATATCCTCGTCAGTTCCGTCCGCCTGTGGTTGAAACTATGCTTCCAGGTCGGTAGGTAAAGGAGGTTGTTTCTTTCAGGTTCCGCTCAATTGTGCTGATTGTTGTCTGTTGTTATTGCTGCTGTTGGTGTTGCCCAAGAATTTTCATCACCTATCTCTCTTTCCCCTACGTTCACATGAAGTCCTATCTTCTCTGGATGTTTCTGCTGCCAACTTGTTGTTTTTCACTTGCATATATTCCAGTGTGTGGGAAATCAGACATATGTCATCCAAGTTTTTTGTGTGCGTCCATTTTTATATATTTCATATTTTATGTTTAATATAGTACCATATTTTAGAAAAACCCTGTGTCTTTGGATTTTACACGTACATAAAGGTGTGGTTTAATAATTCCTGGATTATTATCCTGAATTTTTTCAGGAAGAAATTCACACTTGGCATTTGACCAAACTGAAGTTTCCACCGGAAATGCTCTCCGACTGAATTTATTCAAACGAAAGTGTTTTCACCCTGATAAATAAAAGTATAGACCAAGTCATCCTCAGAATATTGATTTACCTAAATGCATACGTCTTATCCACACAATAACGACTTTGATAGACACCATTTGACAGCTTTCAAGTTGATGTCATTAAAATTGCAAACCTTTTATGACATTCACCTAAGTTCTAACCCTCGCAAACTGAGCTGTTTGCGTAGAAACAAAATTTTGTGGAAAACTTACCTTCAACTTGAGTGCACTGGGTTTGTTTATAGCATTATCTCCTGTAGTAAAAGTGTCAGATGAACACGGCCATGATGGATTTGATGGAATGTTATCAGCGGAAGACAGTGAACCAGTTGTAGTACAGCCTATTTGATTTGTTAGTGTTCTTGAAGCATTCAACTGAATAGTTGCATAAAGTGGAACTGAATTCGACTGGACTACTTTATTTAAGGCAGAATTGTAGTTCACACTATTGTTCATTTCTTCATTAAGCACATCAAGAGGATTAACAAAACTGTGATGTACTGTTGAACGCTGACGTTCATTTATATTACCCGCTAATGCTGAAAAATCAAATTCAATAAAGAAGTCAATATGTTTATTATTTAGTATCATGCTACTTGTAGATATTTAGTAGTACGTAAATGAGTATAAACTGTTAAGCTAAAGTAAATTTCACCTGTAAATCCAAAATAAAATACAATAAATTCTTCGGTTATTTCTGTAGATTGACCGTTTTTCCATTTGAACAATCAGATCATTTGTTGAATAATGATCATTTTATGGTCATAGATAAGATACATAGTGCTTACTAGATATATTTTCGCGACAGGATGTCAGAATAGGTAAAAGTGACATATGGCGACTTCAAGAATTGAGAATTCTTCTCATCCAAATGTAATTGCATATATTTGGTTATAGCCAAACTGCCTTCCTTTATTGATGTTGTCCTCAGCACTATACATGTATGAGAAAGTTCGTTTGAGGTAAAATTAGTTATTGATAGAAACTAGACCCTGGATAATATGATTCCTAGACAACATTGTTTTTAATTCATTCTAGAAACAACTCTTTAACGTTGATATGTTTCATTTTTAACTTACACGTTTATGTTTCTTACAAAATTAAGCTTCAAGGATGAGTAAATTACTTAGATCAAGCTTCATTCCGTGTTTCTTTCATGTTTTCGTATAAGACCAGACAGAAATTCTTGTCAAAGCTTATTACATGATAACAATGTGCTTTCAAATATAGTGAAAACAAATGTTTCCAATTAAAATTAAGAACAGCTTTTGAGGTGATAAGAAAATAACTTATATGTTCACCTACACCTGAAAAAACACTCCGTAGAAGTGGAAGTATGACTACAATACAGTGCATATATTGTTACTACCATAGGCGGCAGATATCTAAACTCATGTGAGAAATCGTCTCTTTTCATATTCTTTCAATAATTTATTAATTCCCATTGTAGCATTAAGAAGACAATATTCAGCGAAGAAACTCTTTTCAACGAATTTATCATCAAGCTGTACAATCGCATATATATGAGTTTTTTAAAGAAATTATATCCGGTGAGGGAAATAGGTCAAAGGTGTGAATACATGAAATTATAATAGTAGTATGAAATGCAATTAAAATATTCGTGATTATAATCATAGTTTCATGTCAAGTGGTGAAATAATTAATATCGTATATAGAATAATACTTAAGGTGTATAGATTTTGGAAAGCGGTACATAATTATAAGCTCAGTAGACGAATATAAAATGTTACATAAGATGGTGTGAAATTTGACAAGATAGAATTCAATATTGTAAAATTATAAAAATTTAAAAATATACAAATTAATAATTTTGGGTTTAAAATGACAAGTGGATCAAGTGGAAAAGATTCACAGTGAGAATAGTAATAATAATAATAATGGCAATAATGATAAAAATAATCGTAGTAATAAGGGAAAGGTACATAGAATAACTAAATAAACTAAAGAGATAAATGTCTATCCCCCTACGGCCAAGACAGAAGTAGAGATTGTACGTACTTCTTTGTATACAAAAGTCTGGCTTAAAGTCATGAACTGCCAAGACCTCAGCTGTCTTTAGAAGTCTGTAACGAAGAAAACACGGGAAGTTATAATGGATTCTATATATGTTCTTGAAATCATGGTCAGGGTTGACCGAGTGACATAAGTTGATCAGGTGTTCCAGAATAGAGCTTTTCACACACTTCCTTTCTCCCTTGTAAAACCAAGCTGGAATATTTCCTCATATCTGTGTGGAACATATTCCAGCTTGGTTTGAAGCCAGATTTTGTATACAAAAGAAGTACGTACAATCTCTACTTCTGTCTTGGCCGTAGGGGGATAGACATTTATCTCTTTAGTTTATTTAGTTATTCTATGTACCTTTCCCTTATTACTACGATTATTTTTATCATTATTGCCATTATTATTATTATTACTATTCTCACTGTGAATCTTTTCCACTTGATCCACTTGTCATTTTAAACCCAAAATTATTAATTTGTATATTTTTAAATTTTTATAATTTTACAATATTGAATTCTATCTTGTCAAATTTCACACCATCTTATGTAACATTTTATATTCGTCTACTGAGCTTATAATTATGTACCGCTTTCCAAAATCTATACACCTTAAGTATTATTCTATATACGATATTAATTATTTCACCACTTGACATGAAACTATGATTATAATCACGAATATTTTAATTGCATTTCATACTACTATTATAATTTCATGTATTCACACCTTTGACCTATTTCCCTCACCGGATATAATTTCTTTAAAAAACTCATATATATGCGATTGTACAGCTTGATGATAAATTCGTTGAAAAGAGTTTCTTCGCTGAATATTGTCTTCTTAAATGCATATTCCCTGGCTGGCAACACCCTCTCTATTCACAACTCTCCCTGGCTTGCATCTCATCTGGTAGGACCACAAGTCATTATGAAAGATTATATCCACTCACAATCAAGTATAAGAAGTAAACTCAACGACACTATCTTTATTCCAGAGAACGCTGGTCAAATATGGTCTTAAACATGAAACTTATGACTTACTGTATAATTTAGCATAAAAATAACAGCCTAGTTATTCCCGCATATTTGTAATTTTTTAGTGACAATATTCCCATTATCTTGTGTGATTTTTGCGGTTGTTGATACTAATATTATTTTTCTCATCATTTTAACATTTGGACATTTAACCCCTACTGTTTTTGCTAATGCCAAAAGTCACTGTTCTCAATTTTGTTTAAGTGTACCATGTGAGGTAATTTTCTGTTTCATTTCGTTTGTAAATTAGACGTAATATCGTATGAAATGCTAGAAATTCCACATTGTATCGGGAATACTGTTTTAGAACATAAGTAGATTATTGTTACTATTAAGCTAACGTAGAAATAATAAATCAATGTATAAATTGTACTTCTTCTTTCTCAACACTAAATAAGGGTTATATATGCATGATTGATTTGGAAATACTCTGAACTTTTGCAAGCTGTATTGATCATCGCCTTCTAAATACTCATTAAGATGTTAAAAGGAAGTGTGTTTGTGTGTGAGTGTGTGGCATCAGTGAACTGCTGTGAGGTAGGATTTTGTCAACAGTAATACAAATTCAGGATAACTAATAGTAGTTCTTGCCTAGAAAATGTAGCTTTAGAGTCTCAGTGATTTTTTTTTTTTGCTTTGTTCTCTGTTCACCGGTATTAATCTGGACAATCTCTATGCGGAGTAGCGGTGCAGTGGTTGGCGTTTATACAGATTCCGATTCGGGTGATTTCATACAACATAATGGGTTATCTTGAAATGTTATGAAGAGAAGGAGGATTCCTGTTTCATTAGACCTATTTTAAATAGTAGAAACATATCCGACTATAGTTCTCCCATTTCTCTAATATTCAACTTTTGTCAGGCCTAAATGGGGCAGTTGGTAAATAATTTCTAGAGATATATATATTTTTTTGGTAGATAAACACCGACATAATTCAGATGTATTGATAAAACGGCAAAGTAATTTTCCCTAGTGCCTAATTTTATCAAGAGTGATAAAAAATATACGCTGAAGACTAATCATAGGTGTTGAACAGATCTAAGATCTAAGAATAGAACTTAGGTACTGTGGTAGAGTATAACTCCCTTATGGACAAAGTCTCACAATGTTATACAGTAATATTTGCTCAACAGATCTGCAATATTGTCAAAGATTTAGAAGAGTATGTATAACCAACGGTTAGTAAATATAGGTTATTAGGATCTCAGCAGATATAACTAACCAGGTAATTAACAGCTCCTCATCTTGTTCATGGTCAGTTATTTCATTAATCATCACCATTTTTGGTCTGATCACTTGACTAAACTTTTATCACTGTCAGTAAAATGGTTAGAATAGTTCTTATTATTGTCTCTTAAGGGAACTATTTTCACTGTATGCTTTATTCAAAACGAAATAAACATAAACACATAAATTCGATACATCCTTGTTTACAGATACAACCAATAGACTGATAAATGATACACAACATTTAAGTATAATAAACAACACATCTACCTTTCCTTAATTTTCTGAATAATTGTTACATATGAAAATAAATAAATTTGGAAACCCTAAGCACGTTATTACAGTTTGGCTAACTAATCATATCTGTTGGGCTAAAACAACATTTGAGCCTTAAAATGGTTAAAGAAAATTCTCGGATTTCATTCACGGTTTTTTGAAGGTCATCTATGACACGCAGCAAAGAAAACCAAGTTTGGCAGTTGCAAAATGCACAGCTCGAGGTGAGAATTCCCTACAATTATCTTCGGAAGCCAAAGATGCTCAGATCTGAACGTCTGATCTGCTTTATACCGCAAAATGCGATCATAAAAAAGGAGTGATCACCACTTGCCTTGTTCAAGGCTGAGATCATTAGCAGTGCGCCATTCTATGAATAGATAAGCTCAGCCCCAAACAAGAGAAAAAGTTGTCTAGAATTAAGAAGCCTTCGACATCTCCATCAAGCACTTCTTTTTTAAGTAAATCTTTTTAAACTACTCATATCAGTAAGTAGCATGTAAAGTTATGGTAAATTGTAAGTAGCGTGAAAGGATATGATTTATTCGGATGTACATGATTCCATACGATGCAAAAGCTAGAACACACCAGTGGCTAAACAATCCTTATGTATGTAATTATATGAATTATAGCTAACCCACAGTGGGAAAGCTCTGTGTGGAGCCTTAGCAAACTTAACGCAAGCACTTGTAAATGAACCGAAACAACAGTGTACCAAATTTGAGTTGGTCAACTCACATACGTGAAACATCACATATTCAAGTAAAGCAGTATGTCAACGCATTTGTTGGTTGTCAAGGAGAATAGATTTCTCAAGAAACATGCATAGCATGCAAACAGCTCGGTTTTCGCTAATTTACACTGGTCTCCAATTTAAAACATGGTCTTAAACTGATATAAATGAATGTGGGAGACTTTTAATTTATTGTAACATCCTTCAACGAATGACGGCAATGTACAAACAAAATGTAATCATATTACTTTAAATCAGAGGCAACCAGGGCTGTTTACCAATGAAAGTCAGCAATTTATTCCTGACTATGTACATATTTACAGTAAATGAAGAACTACTGTGTCTAAAGCACTGAAAATCTAGGCAGATGCGTAATGGCTAAGATTCAATTAACTCCCAAATAAGACAAAAATACTGTGAAGTGAAGAATACAAAAGTGCTATTCCTACCACGGGGATTTCAAATACTCTAATGTGCATGCAAACAACCAAATAAGTGTAGCATTTCCATCATCTTCATTCTACTTCGATTAGGATCCATAAACTCAAATTCTTTGTTTTATGGCCAGTGTGTACACAGCTAATATACCTACATAAGCAGCGATACTACTAAAGAATTTTCGGTATATTTTTAATTTTTAGCACCTTGAGAATTCCACTAACTTTCCGATTTCATAGATATTTTGACGGATATCTTACTGTGATTATGTTAATCTATATTTAAGTATGAGCACTGAGTAAGTTGAAAAATACTTCAGAACTATGGCTTAAAGTGCCCAAGTTTTTATTGACCTCATTCAACAGCTGGCTGTATGACACTGCCACATGTCAGGCGATCCACAACGGAAAACTCAGTGAGGCGTTCAAAGTGCAAACAAGAGTAAGACAAAGCTGCCTATTATCACCAACGGTATTCCTAATTGTGGAGAATTAGATTATACATCAAACTGGAGGAAGCGAGGTGACAGGAATAGGTTGAGCCACTGATAAAAGGACTTTAGAAGAGCTGGATTTCCCAGATGATTTATGTCTCATGTCATATAAACGCGACGATTTACAGAAGACAAGAAAACTGGCAGAAGTGGCAGGCAGAGAAGAGAAGAATTTAGGGGAACATAAAGGAGACGGAGGTAGTGAAGATAAACAACAGATTAAGAGAAATAAAAACCCTCACAAATAACTAATAACAGAATACATTTGAAAGGGGTTCTTTCGTTCATTTGCCTAGAAAACATCTTTCCACTGAGTGTCACGGAATGCATTTCAAATAGGCCACTTTGGTTTTTTATCAAACGCAACTTTCTCTGGCTCCACAATGAAGATCAAATTGTCAATGAGAGAGAATTAGTTACAAAAAACTCAGGCTGATAGCAAACCAACCAATAGCCGATTGCTCAACAAATAAGTAGAAGAAAATGGATGTGGATCTGGCATACAGTGAGGAGACCATCGAATGACATAGCGCTCTAGACCATCATTCCAGAGGAATCCGGGTGGGAAACAATGAGTCTGGCGTCTGAGAATGACCTGCAAGAGATCTTTCAACGAAGAGATGAAAGACTACGAGCAATCATGATGCCAGCTGAAGGGAACCATAGAGAATAGGGCAAACTGGAGTTGTGATGATGTAGTCCTATACTTTACCCAGAAACCAAGGGAACAATAATAATACTAGTAATATTTGAGTAAACTTTGACAGTACCATATTAAAAGAAAAAGCATTTTCATAAAACAAATACTCAAAATTTATCATAAAACTTTTAATTTACCTATAACCGATTGACGAATAAATGGATTGTGTGTTAAAGTACAAGCTATGAGCTGTTTTAAACTATTCAGTAAGATGGGAGTAGACGCTTTGGCATAAAGAAATTTATTTAATTGCTCCAAATCACGATCTTCTGCAGCTAAAGGTTCCAGTTTATCTATTGTTTCACCAACACGTTTTTTAACCTAGAAATTTGAGTAATTTAGAAGAACAAATGAAGTCACTAAAAGAACTGGTATCTTCAGTACACTAAAAAGTACAATGGTTAGTTGTTTAGTCAACACTCTCAATCTCTTTATAAGGTTTCTAAGCATTTCTTAACAGCTTATGAAAAAGAAGTCGATAATCCTAAATAATGACCACATATCATTTTCATTAGATAGACTCTCTCACTGGTTTCTCACTACCTTTATCATGTGACGTTGCCAATGTCCGCGTTTTTAAAAATATAATTAGAAGAATCATTTGATTATTCTAATTCTGTCTTATGACAGTCTCTATTTCAGCTGCTGAAGAGCATAGAGCTATAATTTAAATTCTGAAAAATTCCCGATTAGCAGTGAGGTTGGAAACAAGTTCAAGGATGGATTTTTAACATTTCCTACGTTAATAATAGCCTCATCATCAGAATTATACAGAAACACACTTTATAATTTCATTATACATGACATACCTAAAAAGATATGATTGATTGTACTAGTGTGTTAAGCTACTAAGAAAGTTTCACATATTTATCAGCTGACAGATATTACAGTTCTTTTTTTTTTGTAATTAAGAGCAAAAGATCTAAAATGTTGAATAACAATAACCTGCCACTTACTTTCATTTCGAATTTATTCTTTATTTTCAAAAGTCTTCATTCTTTTGATTGGTTGGAGGATCTCACTAGTTAGAGAACCATTGGAAAACCTTTTTTTTATTACAGCTTGATTCCACACCGTATCTTTGGTACAAGTATGGAATTTTCACCATGGATATCGGTACTGGAGTACTGGACAGCTGCTTTGTCCTAGTCTAGAACTTCTCATCAGTATGCACACGCCGGTTCATGTCATGCATTGACAGAAGTTAGAATTCATGGTATGGTCATTGGATCGGGTCCTAGTGGCTTAATGGTCAGCGAAGTCGCCTTATAACTACAAGATTCTGGGTTCAAACCCCGGCGGTGGGTGTGTCCTGATGAAAAGCCTGAACTACGACGAACCAGCTATACAGTATTCCCAGGTTTTCCAATGGTTCTCTAACTGATGTCAGCTTCCTTAAGATGATAATTCAATAATATTTTGAAGAGAACTATTAAAAATTAGGCCAATACTTTCAGTTTTAGTTTAGTTCAAATTCGTTCACAGAAGTGATCATAGTTCACTAATAAAATCACGTAGTTGAGATAAATTTCCTCCTCATTTCTCTAGTTTACTGAATTAAAAAAATATAGTGCTTGAAGTAATATTTTTTCTATTATTTTTGATAGGAATTTTTTGATTATAAGAAAGGAAGAGCACATCAGACAGTGTTAGGAAAATGCCAGAAAGGCTGAGAGTATGATTTACTGAGCCTACACGTAAACTGTTAGCCTTAGTTATATTGAATATAAATCAGACCACTGCAATGTGGCAAAATGATTGAGTAATCGGCTTTCTTTTGTGGTCTGGAAGTTATCTAGTGTTTGTTTACCGAAAGGTCTAGCCTCGTTTCGTAAGATTAGATGTTTCTTGAGGCATAAATTTTGTATTTGTTCACGTCTTTAATATTGTTTAACAGAGATTAGATTACTAGAAACATGCTCTTGTGATTTGAACTTACTACTGTGTTTCTCTTCATAGTGGTAGTATGAAGCAGTGCTCGTAAGTTTACAGACATAGTAAGTGAACCAATAGCTTTTTTAAATTTTTTATCAGAGTTTGATTGCACACCATATTTTTGGTACAATTATGGAATTTTCAGCATGCAATATCGGTAGCCCAAATTTGCAGGCTAACCACTGATATCAGATGCGCGTTGGCAGGCGATCAAACCCGGGACCATGTGCATTGTCGACAAGGGTCCTAACTGCTGTGCACAGTGAAGTAACTTGTAAATCAAGTATTGCGTGTGGCTTGAAAGTTTTATTTTACCCTTAGTGTTGACACTCACCAAAATTACTCTGAATTCTGACACAAAAATATGCCTGAAATCACTCTGTTTCCTTTTTCTCAACATACTTTTTCAGTCATTCAATGGATGAAGAGTGTTTTCAGCACAACTGTTACTGTTCTTTTTACTGTCTTTTTCAATGCAAGTGACAGGCTTAGATCAAAATTCTAAGTGTGTTTTAAATCTGACCCAAAACAAACTGGTTAGCACTCATGAGGTGTGCAACATAGATGGCACTGAAATAGAAACCAAGTAGGAAATTAAACACTTAGGCGCCATTCTATCTGCTGATCTTTCCTGGTCGTCTCATATCTTGATGATTTCTAAGAAAATATTCCGTCTTACCTTCTACATCAAGAAGTTAAGACATTCGGGTATAACCCAACCCAACCCTTACTCCTACAATTCGTTAACTCTTGCATCCTGCCTATTATCCTCTATTGTTCCAACTTAGTTTTTCCAGGGCTACTGAAGAAAGACTATGCTTTATTACGCAGGATGTTAAAGGTTGTCATCAGGGTAAGCAACGTGCCACTAAACCAGCTTGTTAATATTCTGGTTAACAGGCACTTGGACTCATGTGAAAAATGGGCTAAATCCATTCTATCTATCTAACTCATACCACCCTCTTCATTCACAACTCTCCCCTTGTATCTCATCAGGCAAAACCAGAAACCTACATAGAGAACTATATGCCCGCACTATCGAGTATAATAAATCAACCATACCCTACTTAGCTCGTGTTCTGTGCGATAAAGAAAGCGTTAAGCATGATACCTATAGCTTATTATGTAGTCACTAGAACAATTGGATCTCATCTTTCCATCTCATATCATTTATAGGTACAACGTTTTATTTCTTTCTTTTCCTTTCCTCTTTTTTTCTGTTATGTGCTGCTTTGTTTCTTTCTTGCTTACAAACTCTATTTAAAACATTCTTCTTCGTTCTTTCACACTCTGTATATCTCGACTTTTTTGTTACCACTTACGCCAGTATATATGCTAGTATCTACTTTTCTAACACCAAACACGCTGTTCAATTTTGGCTTTGATACCGACATGCCAATATGTTGTTGTCAAAACTAACTGAGATTACACTTAATCTATGTAGAATTTTATTTTATTGTTAATTTACCAACTGGATGCAATACTGTAGTAAAATGTTGAGAATTCCATTGTGTCACAAGTACTGTTTTGGAATAAAGCAAATTATTATTATCAATAAACCCTTCATAGACATCGGTGATTAAGTGATGGAATACTCTCTAATCAAGCATGTGGACCAGGTTCAACTTCCAGCCGACGCATTTCTTAACCTCACCTAGTTTACCTGCCAACAGTAGGCGTAGGAGAGATGGTAGACCAGACGTGTGGATAATAATTCAACCAGATAAAATTGACTGCCCCCACTGAAACTTAGAAAACTAAAGATCACAGCCATATGCCTTACTCACGAAGTAGGAGAATAAAAGATAAAACCTCCCATAGACTAAATTCGTATATCACACTTTGACTATCAAACGTTTATATGTTGTAAGCCTCACAGAATATAAATATGCACAATATAGGTTACTTTTAATTGGTTACATTTATGATTAATTGGTAATTACAGTTTGGGGTCATTTCTTCGTTGTACTTTATTTTCCAAGAAACTTTCAGAAACTTTTAAATATATTAAACTGTAAAACTTACGGTTTCATACTGAGTCCTAAATACGACTTCAGAAAATGCATAAATTACCTTAAAATTTTCCTCCAGAATGTGTGATGAGTATTAGTGAACAGCTTTATATTATGCTTGTACGAGGAACGAAATATGCAATCAATATTTCAATATGCTTTGCATTTAGAGGGCAATATAAGGCTCCAGGCTTTAGGCTTTAAAAACCCAGTAGAGGAACTGTTCCTTCTAAAGAGCCGGGTAATGGCCTGCCACACTCTCAATCTTTCCTCTTCACGAGTCTTACTACCAGCTGGAAGAGGTTTCGGAATGCACTGAACAGGAATCGAGCCCATATTATTATTCATAATAATATCACATTACTACTATACAAATGTAGCCTAATTTCAGTATAAAAGCATAGAAACTTACCTCTGAGAATGCTTCTAATAAATTAATTTGAATTTGAAGCTCTTGTTCTTTATTCGTATTCATTGAACTGGAAGTATTCAGATGTTCTAGATAAATAATCAACCAGGCTGTATGATACGGCCAATGATGAACCAGTGTTACCCATACAACAATAAGACTGATTTCAACATTCATGTTGTAAAATTTTAACAAACGACCTAATTCATACATATTAACAGAAATAGAGTAAAAATAATGGAAGTATTGAAAACAAAGTGATACTGATTGTATATTTGTATTATAAAAAACGCCCGTGGTCAACAGAACTAGCGTAAAAAGGTGAAATAAACAACTTTAAAATTAAAAAAAACACCGCATTACATTTGTAGTGATATCAGAGATACACAGTAGGCTAAAATACTCTTCTCATCCAGAACCATTGTTATTTTCACTGAAGTCCCCCAACCGATTCTCATTAGCACATTTCATTGATGAAAAGAATACATAAATATAAATGTGGATTATAAAATAGTTTTGCACAGGCGAATTTCGACTGTGAAAAATTGTAACAAAGATTCTTCAAATCCGTTAACCACTGGGAGATGATTACTCACTCATTAACATTTTTCACATAAATCTTGATTGTGAAGACAAGGTGAACGTTTTAGTTGGCATTAGTAAAAAGTTCATCTAACTGGAAGTATATTTTGAAGTATTTGTTTCGAACATGAATGTAATGTAAAGTTTCATTTCCTTAAAATCACTAATCACTGTTGAGAAAATGGTAGACTTCAGAGCTTGGTTAATGGGAAGCCCACATGATATGGATAATACCTAAAAGTCATTTGTTTTTTGTCAAGTTATCCATAAACCTCCATTGGTCAAAACTCTGTTTTAAAAATCCAAGAAAGTATGCTCCTGATTCCTGGAGTATTGAAAAACCATGGTTACCCTCGGAAATACATCTTCAAGTGCGGATGATATGAAGGGGTAGATGCGAAACACACACTACAGAGAAAAAGAGGTCTATTTCCATACACCTTCATTTCAGAGGTGATAAGATTGCTGGAAAAGTCAACAGAGGTCCAAAGACCTTACTTTCCAAAAGCTATCCTACAGTTAATTTGGTTCCCAACATGCACTTTAGCAAAAGCAAAAGTCTTCTTATGCCAGCTCTAATTTCAGATACAAATTCACATCTATCCGCAGTAGTATTAACATTCAGAAAACAAAGACAAACGCACATCTTAGAGTTTCAGAAAACGCTTACATCTCAAGGAAATAAACGCTTTGAATAGTACTGTTGCTAGGAGTTTCATTGGTAGGATCTTGAGGTTGACACCCTTAGATCCTTTAAATGTATCAAAAGATAATAGAGTTCAGTTCACCTTAGATACACCAAACTAGTTATTATCAAACATCCTAGACAAAATGTATGTGCTCAGAGAGTAGTAATTATCAGTATTCCCCTGCCTTGATAATTTGATTTCTTCATTCTCCCTTTTATTTGAATGTGCAATCATTAACGTTGATCTCTCCCCCTTCCTCTATAATGTAATTTATTTGTCTTTTTTTATCTATGATTTCACTCTAACTTATCACACTGTTACTCGACTTATTAATTACTGCTTATAAACTGAAACTGAACAACATGTTGTTAAGTCAGTCAAAAGATGAAGGAACATAAATGAGTTGGTATGTGGACACATTCTAATATACTTGAATAGCCTAAAAATATGTCGTCATCATCTTACCCATCTCTTCCATTTATTTCTCAACACTTCTTCTATTGTATCCAGGCCTTGATGTTTTTAAACCTGAAACTTCTGTATGTAGGCGTTATGTAAGCGCAGTTCCTATGCATTGCTTTTTAATTATTTGTCGACTCAAATTATATCACGCTTAAAAGTATGTTAAATTTCCTCTCTACATAACATCAACAGCTTCTCTAGCCTGTAAGCAGCTGGTGAGAAGTCTGCGAAATAAATAATGGTAACCGCTTACTCTGCACAAACGGCTGCATTTAACTCCATTATGGATAAGATTTTTGAAAAAACTCATACAGTGTTGTAAAGTAATATTCACTGATGCGACCGCGCATTACAGCACAAATTATTGACACTCATGATCATGTCAATGTACTCAACATCACTTTCGTGTCTCGTTTATATAAATGAATAAAAAGCGATGATTAGACATTTGAATGAAATCAATATAAGATAAAGTAGGTTTGAAAACAATATTAGTGTTATCAATAAAATACAATAAGGTGGGAAATGAGATGCTTTCATAGTAAAAAATAAGTAACCTGTTAGAATGTTATGATGTGAATTGAATTCATTTTAACATTATTTATTATCCTCCTTTGATTTGACTGGTAATAGTATCTTCCATATCTCTGGTATTTGCTTTGAGTTACTTCTGTTTCATGTGTTGGGTGTAGACTCGAGTAACCAGGTTTCAGTCACCAACCTCCTCTCTCTCCACCTACCTATATTACTTTTTACAATTTTGATTCTGTCTCACCAACCCCATGGCATGATTGTATATTATTGCATGAAGTGCAATTGCTTGGTTTTTCTCTAAATTACTTATCTTTGTGGGATCAATCATTTTAACGTTAACTAAATTCTTATGTTTTTGTAATCTCACTACTCGTGATCTACTAGTTTGATCTATGCAGTTGACCCAATTCACAGTCATTGTAAGATATTCTGTAAATTATATAATTTTTTTTTAATTGTATTCATCGGGTCCTTTAGCCTACAGCGCTACACCCAACACATGAAACAGAAGTAACTCAAAGCAAATACCAGAGATATGGAAGATACTATTACCAGTCAAATCAAAGGAGGATAATAAATAATGTTAAAATGAATTCAATTCACATCATAACATTCTAACAGGTTACTTATTTTTACTATGAAAGCATCTCATTTCCCACCTTATTGTATTTTATTGATAACACTAATATTGTTTTCAAACCTACTTTATCTTATATTGATTTCATTCAAATGTCTAATCATCGCTTTTTATTCATTTATATAAACGAGACACGAAAGTGATGTTGAGTACATTGACATGATCATGAGTGTCAATAATTTGTGCTGTAATGCGCGGTCGCATCAGTGAATATTACTTTACAACACCGTGTGATTTTATCAAAAATCTTATCCATAATGGAGTTATACTCTGCCACAGTGCCCAAGTTTTATACTGCTGCACATCTGTCTGTCTGTCTGTTTTCGACATAGAACTTTGCAAATATGTGCGGCAGTTCAAGTCGCCACACTCCCACCTTGTAGCACACAAAGCAACAGAAGAAAGTAGAAGAAATGCATAATAGAGACAGTAAAAAGAGATGTGAGACAAAGGAATAGTAGCAACGAAGAACAAAACAGTTTCATTGGAAATCATAGGTCACAAGGAGTAGATGCATCTGCACCAGCCATTGAGAACGACCACTTTGAGCCATATCACCAATTGTTTCCAAACATTGGGTTTTACCCTAACGAGGACCCCAACCAGCCAAGAAGTCTACACCTTCTTACTTAACTGGCTTAAACTAACTGTTGTGGATTTCACTGAGTGGTGCCATGTTTTGGTTTGACCGCCGCTAGCTCTTTTCCAGCCTGACCCTATATCAGCTAACATTGCTCGTCGAGGAAGGCGATGACTAGGCATACATGACACATGTCCTAACCATCTCAGCCAATGTACCTTCACAGCCTTATCGACTGATTTACCCTCCTTACCTAGAACTCGACGCCTAACCTCAATATTACTCACCTTATGACACCACTTCACACGAGAAATAGAACGCATGCACCTATGATCGAAGACAGCTAATCTTTTCATGTCTTCCACTCCCAATGACCAGGTCTCGCTCACAGCCATAAAGGAGGACGGAGCGGACTGATGAGCAGTTCACACGCCCTTTGGTTGATAGTCGGATATCTCGTCTACGCCAGAGACGGCGTTAACTGGCATATGCTGCACCTACTTGTAAACGGTTAATCTAAACCAGAGGGACTACAACTAGTTTTACACCTTGAGATATATAAACTACAAACATACACATATGGGTGTACATAACTACCTCACTGGTTGTGTTTTGATGAAAAAATGATGTACAGAAAAATATATGTATATTTAACCGTTCAATTCAGTTAATTAGAACTCTGTGGATATATTTAAACGCTCAGCATTTGACTGACGGGATTTGAGTTTGTTTGCCATTTTTGTTGTTGTTGTTTTATTTTAAGAAGTTGGAACAAATGTTAGCTGGCTACCCCTTTCATCCCCTGTAAATTCTCTTACCATAGAAATGAGATAATTATTTCATTCATTCATTTTTGTAGGAAAATAGAAAAAGATCTGTGCCTTTTAATTAGCAAAAATTGTAACAATTTTCTTAAAATTTATTATTCTTAATTTCTAATTTTTATTGATACATAAAATTGTAATATTGCAAGAGTAGTGATATGTCTTAAAGTATAAGATAGTAAGTATGTCAGTTTTATAGAGCATAACTACTTCTGCGCAAGTTTTAAGGAATTCAATAAAGTTGTTGTACAGTATGAAGGCTAAATAGCAAGTATCACTTATATTATTAGTAGTAGTAGTAGTAGAATGTTTTTTGTTTCCAGTGAACACCCAGTGAATTTAATTTCAATTTTACAAATACTAACAGATGGAGTTTCTACTAATTAATTCCGTTAGAATGCAAAGGTTTCTAAGAGATGACGAGAGACAGAAATAGCATAATTCCACCTCTGGTTAATAATTGCTAAGACTACTAAGTCAAGCTGTTAACTAACTGAGACTTAAGTAATTCACGTTGGAATTCTGTTATGAATAGGATAAACGTAGTGGCTAGTCTCAATAACGTCTTGACTAGACCACTGGAGGTTTATTTCCATTCTCATTTACTGCCTTCTCAGCAGAGTGCTGTTCATCAACCAGTTCTATGAGATAAACTAAGGTCCATGTGGACACTATTCGTAGTTGTTGTAAGGATATTATTCCTAACTAACAGTTTCATTCTTTTGATGATATTAGATGGTTTGAGGCAAGCGGCCACAGGAAGCCTTCGACCTAGGTTTTATGCTAGTTAGCTCTCACCAATCAGCGAGGCATTTCTGCAACCTTGAAGGAAATCATGTCCCTTCTGAGATTCATACCCGCGTCACCCAGTGCCGCCTGCAGTCAGAGACGTTACCACCGAGCTATTCTGGCGCGCGATCGACCTCCTGTAGGACTGTAGTGGACACTAGTAACTAGTGCGATGTGTCTAGTCCTTACTTCGGTTCAGGCTGAATTTGATCAGTCTGACCGATTTATGAGACTAAGAAGTGATAATGTTTCACCCGAAACGTGCCGTATGGCTGAATAATTTGCGCATTTCATAATGCTTGCTGCCTGTATAACTGTTGAGTTGGAAAGAGTTAATGAACTGTACAAAAAAGGAACAAGTGATCCTTCTCTGATTTTAATACTGCTGAATAGCATTCATTTTTTATGCACAAATTTTTTTAGTGTTTTCCAAAGTTATTGAATGCCTCAAGTCTTTATCAACCTTACTCAACAGCCAGCTACATGACGATGTCAAATATAAAGTGGTTCGCAATCGAAAACTCAGCGAAGGTACTGGATTGAAGAGAGGAACAATAAAACCTGCACACTATCATCGATGATATTTCTGGTTGTAGTGGGCTGGGTTAGACAACATAGAGTGGGGGAGCGAAAACTGCGTTTGGATGACTAACTTCCCGGACAATTTATGTCAGTTGTCAAGCAAAATCGAAAATCTACAGGCGAAAATTAACAAGTTGTCGGAAGAAGCAGCGGAAACACGACATAAGGTGAACTTAGAGAACATGTAGGGAGGTTGTTTCTTTCATCTATTTAGGCAGCATGGATTAGGATATCAAAGTGAATCAGGATTGGAAAAGCAAAATAGTTACTTCATTAATCTGAAATCATCGTTGAAAATCTGCTGCATTCAGCATAACCACCAAGATCTGTATCTTCAAAACTAATGTGAGTCAATTTTCCTACATTGGTTGGGGACGAAGCGTCACCAAAAACATTTCCAACGGGCTGTTGCAGACTTTTATCAACAACTGCCTTTACTCCATAATTACCACAAGATTTCAGATGGGGAAGGATAGGCAACAAGGAACTCCTGAGATAAATCAACCAAGAAACTGTTGCCTAACATATCAGCAGAAAACAATCGGATGTTGAATGGGCACATTCTTATAAAACCGTTGAGTGTTGTCATGCACTAGACAACCATTCCAGTGGGAGCCAAATAAGAAATAACGATTTGGGTGTTGACCCATGGGTAACTTGGAGGAGGTCACGTGAGGAAAAAACGGAAGCTTCTGGGCTGTGAGGAATATGGTGAAAATGAAATGTGCTACTGAAGCACCTTGAAAGTCAAGAGAATACAGAGAAATTTCATAGGTAATTGGAGAAAAGTATGAGTTAAACAAAAATTCAGCACTGACAGAGTTGTAAAACTGATTTTAACTAAGTATAAGGGAAGTGTCAAGACTGCATGATTCATAGTCGTGATTTCAAGATGGTTTATTCAGCTTTCGGCATGCTGTAACTTATTCATTCAATTCTTTATCATGTCATCTTGCAATAAACATCTGTTATGATCCCAGTCACATTTTTTTCATAATTTTAGTTTATTCCTATATTTCATTTTATATTTCTAAAATATTAATACAGGGAATAGTTTTAAGAATGAAACTTCACCAAAATAGAAATAAAATCTGAAGCAGCTTTTAATGAATTTACCTCTCCCATGCTCTGAGTTATGAATCAAATAATCTGGATACCTTCGACATTTTATTCAATTATAGTCACAACCCGTCTGAAACAATCAAAACACGTTATCGTGTAGAATGTAGATTACTGTTATTTTACACTTATATCCCATCAAACAATACAGTTTTTAACACTTTTTCTGCAGTAATTTCTCTTTATAACAACAAAAAGAATATGACAGTCTTTGGTCTTATAGTCTTTTACTGTAGAGGATAACTCTATTCTACTTCCTTTGTCAAAATTGGCATTGTCAACAGCCATATGACGATGCTACGTATTAGGTGATCCACAAGAGAAAATTCATCGAAGGCTCTGAACTGAATAAAGGAGTGGGGCATAGTTGCCTATTATCACCGATAATAATCCTAATTGTGGTGGATCGGATCATGTGACACACTGGATGCAATAAGAACAGAGAAGACGAGAAAACATTTGATCACCAATAAGAAGACTCTGGAAGATCTGGATTTTACGGGTGGATGATTTGCGTCTAACGTCACACAGACTCGAAGACTCGCAGGCGAAAACCAAAAAACTAGCAGAAATGGTAGGCAGTGGAGGTAAGACTGCATGTGATGAAAATAACCAACCAACAAACAGTGACAATAAAAGCACTGATCAGCATCAATGGAAGAAATTTGATGGAGGTTACTTCCTTAACTTTTCTAGGGACCATGATTTCAACTACAGTCGGTCGGAACAGATGAAGATATCAAATCCAACCAGAATCGGAAAGGCAAGGTACAAATCCATCAATCTGAAATCGATTTGGGAATCTTCTGCACTCAGCTAGCATAAACAACAAGATTCAGATATTCGACACCAATGTGAAGTCAGTCATTTCTTTCATGTGGTTCAGAAACTTGGCACCGGCGTCACAAAAAAGCATTTCCAATAAGCTACTACCGACTTGTATCGACAGCTACCTTCTCTGTCTTCATAATGATGATGAAATGGCCAGGCAGGAAGAATTAGTAACAAGAAGCTATGGGAACAAAGTAAACAAGAGCCTATCGTTCAACAAATATGCAGCAGAAAATAGGAACGGACAGTCAAGATGATATCGCGCTCCAAGTGGAATCCGAATGAGAAACGATGAGTGAGTCGTCGGTGCGAGGGGGACGTGGAAGAGATTATGTGAAGAGTAGATAAGAGATCATAGACAATCGTTTGACTGGCATAAAAAGACAACAGAAAATAAAATAAAGTGGAGATGTGTTGTTGAAGTTGTATGTTCTACTCGGAACACAAGGGAATAATAACTATAGTAATAATACTCCCTTCATTTAATATCAGTAAAAGTTTGAGCATTGTGGATTAGACTAAATAAAGTATAATTATATTGCAATAGATTACACACAATGATAAGTTTTGTTATTGGTAATATTTCGAGCAAAATTACCAATAACAAAACTTATCATTGTGTGTAATCTATTGAAATATAATTAAACTTTATTTCCCTTCATTTACTTTATAATCACTCTTCGCTTGAGTTCCAAGTGGAACACATGTTTATTTCACTCTGTTTTTTACAGTCTTTTTAGATGGCTTGCGGGTTACCTACAGGCTCTCACATCCTCTCCGCGCGATTTTCTCCATGTCACCGCTAAAAACCTAGCCCATTACTTCTAATTCAGTTTCTACCTGGTTGCCTGGTGCATGATGCTACTTCTATGCGCTGAAGATGTCACCCAGTAAGGTGATGAAAGCTTCGCAAACTAACCATCCAGCTCAGAGAACAAAACCACATCAAAATTTATAAAGTGTTTACAACAAATCAAGTAAATATACATTATCTCGTGTTTGAGAACACTATACTATACATATATTAACTTAATAGAACGCCTTTATTATTCATTGTGCACAATGACAGGTATGCAGTTCAACGATGTTTCAAAGTAAAGAAAAACAATTATATATTATTAAATTTAAAATCAAGAAACCTACTTGTTAATGCTGTGGAAAGCACCAACTGTTTCAGAACTTTTCCATTCCAGTCAGCTAACTCATGATTATATAAAAACATGCTTGCAATATCATTAACGCTGAAGTTATTTCTTTCACCTGTAAAATCATTATTGTCTACTTCTGATTCAATGTGTGTCGTCGAATGCTTAGATGCATGTTTACTAATCAAACGTGACTCGTAACAGTTTTCAAATGTAGCTCTTGGCAGGTGTGTTGATACACTGTTCCGGTTAAATGACTGAAAAAAAAATTGTAAAATAAAGATATCCCACATATAGTAAAACATTAATTGCCATTTAATTATAGGTAAAATTACAGAAAATAAAGCGGTATTCATGACCAGATTAATTATGACATGAACTCGAAATCCAATTAAAACTAAACATCCGTAACACAATGAGTAGTGCCCTGTCTTAGATGACATTTTACCTTTCAGTAAACTAAAGGTGAAGCTTTGAAATAATGATACACAGATTTCAGTATGAGTGTCAACCTCCGAAGCAACTCTTACTAAAATCACCAATCCGATAGCAATTTTAACCATTTTATAGGCCATCTTTCCTCGGAATGAAATGACATTTTCGCAGATGTGTTTGAAGAATAAAACTACATAACGACCAAATATTGAGGCATAACTACTTTTCAAAGAAATAATCTCCAAATTTCCTTATAAATAACAAGTGTTCAGGTTAGCTTTAGTAATCATTTTCAATCAATCTTTGTCTATGAGACAAACATCCAGTTTCGTTTAAAATAATAATTAACTTTTATAGAAGCATAATAGAAAAGAAAATGTAGCAAATAAGGGGATTATTACCTTTCGTAGTTAATTATATCAAAACATCAAAAGAATAAGTCTTAAATGCTGTAGGTTAAAAAATTAATTTAATTTTTAAACAACCCTGAGAATTAATTAAAACACGCATTGATTGAAGGAAAATAGGTGGAAACAATTTAGTTTTAGAAACCATATTCTTGATTTCCTGAAATTAAAACATTTAAACTAGAAGTGTTATAACATTGTTGTAAAACTTGCCTGATGTAAGTAGTAGGAGAATTTATAAACTCATTGTTGTATGCGTGTTATGAACATGTTTTTAAATAACAGTTCGTCCAGAAAAAAGCTAAACATCCTTGTACAAAAAACTATATACTACTGATTAGTTGAGATGAGTAGGTTTATACACCTCAAGAGTAAGATAAGACTTCTGCCTATTATCATCAATGATATTTTTAACTGTGGTGGACTGGATATGCATCAGACTGTACACAGAGAGTGAGAGGACAGGAATACTTCGAACGTTGCAATAAGAAGACTCTAGAAGATCTGGATTTAGCGCGTAGATGATTTGCGACGAATGTCAAACAGACTGGTAAACAATTAGGTGAAAACTAACAAACTGACCTAATATGCAGTGGAGATACGACATCAGGTGAACACAGAGAAAACAGAGTTGGTGAAGATAATCAACCGATCAACCAGCAGCCACAACAAACAACACCAATTACCGTCAACGAGAGCAATTTGACAGAGCTTTCTTCCTTCACTTATCTAGGAAGCTTTGTTTCAGACACAGGTAGTCAGAACGGATGATGTCAAAACCAGCCAGAATCAGATAGGTGAGATACGCCTTCATCAGCTTGAAACCAGTTTGAAAATATTATGTACCCAGCCAGCATCAAGAAGAAGATTCGCATTTTCAACACCAATGTCAAGTCGGCCAGTGCTTCCATACGGGCCAGAAACTTGCACTGCGTGTCATGAAAACGATTTCCCAGCAATGATGTGGGAAAAAATGGAAATGGATCGGGCAGCAATTGAGGATACCGTCAAATAAAATCACGCGCAATCCAGGTCATCGCTCTAGTGGAATCACAATGGTAAACGACTAGTGGGTCGTTGATGCGAGGGTGACATGGAGGAGATTGTGTGGCAAGGAGATGACATATTATGGTCAATCGTGGACCCAGCTGAAGAGGATAGCAGAAAATAGAAGAAAGTGGATATTAGTTGTTGAATCCCTATGTTCCACTTGGAACCCAAGGAAATAATAATGATGCAATAGTAATACCTCTCACATTCAAGTTTGTTTTCAATGTTATTATAGGTTCTGTTAATGACTTTGCATTCTTCAGATTGGTGCCATTATGGTCATGTTACTTATAAAATTGTTATGGGAGAACCAATTTTCCAGCACCCATAGATTTAAAAGTCTTCCGCTGACTTCTTTTAAGCGATAATTACAGCAGTTGGTTGACGAACCTGTACAACACTGTGTGACTGATGCTTGAAGCATAGGTCAAAATCTCAGTGATACAGGTATTTTAAGGAAAATATTATGGATTCCAGTCCCCATACCTTCTCTGTGGGGTAGATGACCTAGAGTTGACTCAGTTTACATCTGGAATGAATGAATAAAAAGGCTAAATTTCCGAGAGTTAGCTTGTAGGGATTTGATTTCTTTCAGGTTTGCCTACGGATCGGTATCAATTGAAGGACTACTAAAAACCAGGGAGTACTGGACAGCTGTTTCGTCCTAGTTTGGGACCCACTGGCTGCTGTCGGCTACTTGTCCTGACTCCCAACCGGGTGGACTTCTCTAGCCCTCAATTGTCACTGGAACCCCAGGCAATCCTATTCTGTAGTCAGAAAGGAACAGGTATCTAGTACTCCCGGTTTTCAGTAGTTCCCTTATTGATGTCCATCTGCCCTCAAACTTAAAAGAATTAAATCTTGAAGCCTGCTTGTGTTCGGAATAAGTAATTTGGAAGACAGGCACAAACACCAATAAATCCTTGAAATTGAAGAGATCCTCTAAAGCTTGACGAATTGTTTATTCACGAAATAAACCATAACCTTCCCGAATAATATGGAGTTACGTACGATTTACAGGATCTTGTCGTGTTTCATAACTGCAGAATATAAAATTTATAGAAGGGGAAATAGCAAACACGGAATAAGGAATAGGACTAGTTTTGCGCGTAAGATTTGAAATTTTGAATGTTCTAAACAGTTACTAAGTATTTCAACATTTTAATAGGTAGCTCATAGCTTAAGGTGTTTTCTAATATATCTATGATAATCTCTGAAGGAAGAGTTTCACTGATATAATGTCCAGAATACTAGGTTTAATGATCATGTGTAGACAGTAGGTACTCGGAGAAAGAAACACGTGAAAACCAGTTACGGTTCAGGCCAGGAATAGAGTGTATTGGTCATATCTTCACCTGTCGATAAACTCTGGAACATACATATCGGCATCCAACTGTGTTGAAGGAAAAGTGCTACGGCAGTTTTCGGACTTAAATCAACTATCAAGAAAGCATGTCGCTCTCTACTCGAGCTCACAAGGCCACGTAAGAGCTTATAGAAAGTCCCCATCTGAATGGGTGACAACGAGTGATGTCCATCCACTGTTCCCATTTTCGTTTCATTTCACTATAGATACACCACTGAAACTGATCTTAACTGACTCAAGTGATTTAGAGATACATATATTATCACAGAATAAGCTCGTTGACCAAGGGTATGTGGATGATATTGTCCTCCCAGATGAAGAAGATGACAAGATGTAGAGTCTTCTGAACGTGTTGAGAGGCAGTCTTTAAATAATTCGCGTGCATTTTGCTCCTGAGAAATGAAAGATTATGCTGCAGGTGTAGACTTCAGGGAAGTGAGACAGCCAGTTGATCGCTTTACTTACTTGGGAAGTTGTATGAGCCTCAAGTGACTGATTGCTGACAGAATCGCAGGTGTGTTAAAAAAGTCTATTGTGTGTTCGTCAACTTACATAATCAGTGATGTAGATATGACACGCGTCTATTAGTCAGAGCAGCAGTTCTCTGTGAGACATGCCTCTTATGAGAAGACGATCACTGACCACAGATGTTTAGATTCTATTTCTCGTATCAAACGGTACAGCACGATGAGCAATAATGAGGCTAAGAATAAAGTGCTAGATAAGGATGGGAAGTGAACTTGTTCGGTTGTGAAACTACACCGAGTGAGGTGGCTCGAATACGTCTTATCGATGATGAGTTGTCGGATTATTTGATAAGCAATGTTAGATTATATAGGATTGGTTGGAAGAAGAGTCAAGCGAGGTTAAATAAACACCAGGCATCAGTTCATGAAGTTTATGACAGTTGGTGCGCGGCACCTAGGGAACTGTAGACTACTTGGTTGAGATCCTCGTGGTGCTAGGAACCAGTGGCTGATGGTGAGAAAACTGGTGATAAAGCTGCCATGTCGCAGATGCATTCAATCTGTACAGTCTCTAATAATATTAAGCCCCTATGCTTTTCCATGTAACTACTCATTTTTCGCAGATCTCCGCTTACTTCAGTTCCTCTAAACCTTCTTTTTTCTTTTAGTTTGCTCTCTCTGTTTGGCACATAGACTGTGGCTACTTGGACTGGTGCACTTCTGTGCTAAGTTCGATTTTGAAACTCAATCAATTTAGGATATTTGATACACACGAAAATTGGCAGTGAATCTGAGAGGTAGTAAACAGAAATCAGAGGTTTTTATTTTCACACATTTCGAAATCAATTTCAGTTTTTTTTCGATGAAGAACTTTTACATCAAAGACCTCGGAATTATTCACCGTTATATCGAAAATTGTTTTAAAGCATGAAGTGAATTGTAATTAAAGTATCTAATTTCTCATAAATAACCATTTTTCAAATGTTATTTCGAAGAATAAATTATGTAGTTTGTGAGATTTTGTGATGAATGTGATATCGGTAATGCTTACAGGACAAAGAAATATGGCCATTTCGTCTGTGCTGTGTCTAAATAACATCCTAAAAACACCTGTCAATTTCCTAAAAAGAATGAAACCCACCGGTTTAAAATTATAATGTCATCGTGAGTGTAGCTCACCATCTCAACAAACCAGCATGTTTTTGAACAAAGCAAGAACTACTGTTTTAGCAGAATAAACTGGTACCATCTTTTATTTCGTTTCGATCAGTATATGCATACAGTTATGATATATATGTATATATATATGTAATATTAAACACTATTCCGAAAAATAATAATCATACACAATGGAAACATTTCATTATTTCGCATTCAGATGAAAGAGAGATGAAAAATGCCCAGTTACCAGGACAAAGTAAGACTGATAAGCGCTTCTTTCTGGACGCATAAATCGGGTTTCAGGTGCTTGATGGAAATGTCTTCAGCAAACCTAAGGAGAATTGAACTCTCTTTCCTATTGATAATTTTGAATGACTTTTCGACGTCCACGTCATGACTCGTGTCGAGGAGATGCCTGGCGATAGCACTGACTAAAGCATTTGTTCCCTTTAGACGTAAGCGTTTTAGTACATGTTCAGATATGCCCTTCTTTCTGTCCTTCCAATGTGACTGATGAAGCCATTTTCATCAAGCGCCTGAAACCTAGTTTATGCGTCCAGAAAGAAGCGGTTATCAGTCTTACTTTGCCCTGGTAACTGGATATTTTTCATATCTCTTTCATCTGAATGTGAAATGCTGTAAAGTTTCCATTGTGTATGATTATTATTGTTCGGAATAGTGTTTAATGTTGCATATATATGCATATATTATTACTGTATGCATATATTGATGGATTGATTTTTGTTTAAAATGGACTCTGTGCAAGTATGTTAAAATTGTTGTTGTAGATATATTTAATAATGTCTCTGCTTTGTAAGCAGCTGACGAGAAGGCAACGAAATAAAAGATGGTACCAGTTTATTCTGCTAAAACTGTAGTTCCTGCTTTGTTCAAATTCATTAAGAAGAATAAATGTAGGAAATCAGTTTGTACAAGACATTTCAAGCAGTTTATAAATAAAAAAAGGTTTGATGAGGTATGCAGTGAAATCTATTTGAAGTCGATTAAGAATCATTCAAAAAAGAAAAGCCTAATGTTTTTATTTAAACTAGAATACTTGATTGACTTAAAATATGCTTTGCATTAAAAACAAACAGATTGTTATTTTCTTCAAAAATTTCCCCTTTTTTGTCTTAAACGTTTCATGTGTAGTAAGTATAACGTGTGTTATGTTATATAACTCAATAATGAATTGCGTGTCGTGTAAAGAGGTGAAACAACTTGCCTTGTAAGAACATATTTACAGGATAAAAACGTAGAATGCATAAGATTTAAGAAGTTTGCGTGATCTTCATCGCAACAACAATAACAACATCAACAGCGACAGCAAGACATGTTATTATCTATTACACACAGAAATTAACTCACATTTTTGTTTAAGTGACAAAACAAATCAAATAATTCATTTTAGCTAAATGATTTTCAACTCAACTCAACTCTTACCAGATTTGTTGATGATGCATTCATATTGAGTGTTGTCAATGGTTTTAAGGCTGTTGAAGATGTCTGAGAGGCGCAGAGAGCAGATGAATAACCATTCAACGGTGAATGAAATACCTGATTTTGTTGTAATTGATCATTAGGACAAGTTAATTGTTGTTGTGGAAAATCAGTGAATATTGGTGGTTCCAAATAGATTGGTAAATGTAGACTAGCGTGAACTAAGTGAAAATTATCACTAAGTATTTGAGCTAGAAATTTTGGTCCTTGGTTTAAACCATCATAAGAATTGGAAGTACGCGGGGTAAAGATTGAACTACATACAAGATCACCTAAAAGAATCTGAAAGAAAAAAAAGGAAGGAAGAAAGACAGTTTACAATTTCACTTTTTCAAGTTTTATTAAATATCCTTAAAACCCTGGTTTTTTAACAAATGTTTAGTGGCCCAATTGAAAAGCTAGTAACTCTCTACTGTTAGTGCTACAGTGACAGTTGTGTTGAAGGACTGCCCCAATAGCAACGTTAGAAGCATCCTTTAAGAAGGAGGAGTGTTGCTTTTGCGTCTGTCTACGGGTGTCTTTTCATTAAATAAGAGCTTGACAGTTTTGAATGATTTAAGGACTTCTGCTGGCAAGTGAAATCAATGGTTACGTCCATATACACAGTTTCAAAAGTGTGGCATAGTTGAGAATGAAACGAGGGTGGAAACTGATAAGACCCGAAAGTCGTCGTAATTTCTTAAGAGAGTTAGGTAGTGGGTAGTCCTTAGTAGCTTTTATATCATCAGGGATTGGCCTAATTCCTTGCCTGTCGATTGAGTGCTCCAGGAATTTCAATGAAGTCTTGTCGAATTCAAATTTGTCCTTGTTGGTGGTCATACCATACTGGTGAAGTCTTTGGAATATAGTACTCATTATCGTATTTCCAAACATAATCCTGCATGATTTTTATTTGCTTTAGAAACTAAACTTGAGGATCTGAAATTCCTTGTACATCATATTGAAAACAAACAGTTTCATTATGCGTGAAGCTGATTCTTCAAACTATAACCTTCACGGTCATTTTCACCTATTCATTTAACACATTCTCGCATCATTCAAATTACAAAACAAATGTTTATAACAGCAAAAATACATTGCGTCTTCATGGAGGAGCCTACGATGTTTTTGATGAAAGAGAGGAACTACATAATTTCGCCACTTTCATGTCTGTCTCCCCCTACAACTGCTCGCATGACTAGTTGCGTTTGGAGAACAGTTATCAATGTTTATCGATGGATATTTAAATGGAATTTGCCATCGTTGTATAAGAAACAAGTAAAGTCAACACGTAGTTCAATTCTGGCAAAATCTTATTTAGTCTTATAACAGAATGATATCATTTTAAGAAACACTGAAGACCTGGGAGTGCTGGAAAGCTGTTTTGTCCATATTTTGAACTCTTAATCAGTAGACACCGATTAACACGCCAAAGATAGAACCCAATACCTTCAGGTTATGTCTCCAGCTATTTGACTATACAGCTACTGAGACGGAATCTAGTGGATTTTGAATTTTAACCTCTGTAAAAATTTGCAATAAACAGCTCAGCCACCAGTCATTTTGATTGGTGAGTATTTACAGACACACCCGACCTGGTAGACCTTGCTGCTTATGACTTTGCACCAGAACTCCAAGGGGCTTCATCCAGGATTCAGTCACTAGTGAGCATGAGGTTCATTTTCAAGTGTTAGATTGTACAAATTAGGGTTGGTGTCAAGTTTGAGCACGGATTAATTTTAGTTAGAGAAGTATCGAAAACCAGAATGCACTGGATAGCTGTTAGATATGGTATTTATTACTTCAAGTATTTCACGTATATTTTTTATCTTATTCCTTTTACGAGTTGACTACGGATTGATATCAGTTAGAGAATCATTGAATCATCGGCAGTCAGCACCCACTGGGATTCGAATCCAGGACCTTCTGGATACAAGGCAAGCTCGTATACCATTCAGCCACTGGGACCCGATTCAATGGCCAGTGCATGAATTCTAACTTCTACCAATTCGTGATTTAGCGTGACCCCAACCATTGTCGTAGGTGGGACATCCATTCACACACGTGACATCTGATTGGACCTCACTGGTCAAGACTACTCACTAGAACTCCAGGAAGCTCCATTCATTTGCAAATCACTAGCGAACATCAGATTAATTTTCTTATTCCTATTACTATATCTATTTTAACTGTCTAATTAAATTTGTCTACTCCACATTGTAGCGTTTTTTAAATACAAGTAATCTTCACAATTTGATCTCTAATTAACTCGTATTTATGTTACATCACCTACGCTTTCTGTAACCATCTGTCTTTATTTATTTTTTGAAATTCTGTAACCAGCTCTAGTCTTTAACTGTGGCACTATTTTCTCCTTGGTTAATTCAAAATCTTTTTAGGTGTTGATTGTGATGTAAAATTACCAATAAATTTATCACATTTAAATTAGTACACTGTGTATTGTATCAAAAGCAACCGCATGTTACTGCATAAGCATTGAAGACGAGTTGTTTAACTAAGGAATATATGTGTTTCTAAAATCAGTTTTTTCGTTGAAGGTCTAAATGGAAGTTCACGTTGTAATGCAGTGTTTCACCATCCAATAAATTCCTTGAGACTTTGATTAGTCACTAGGTAGCAACCAGATGTCATACATCTAGTCCTTAAGTTGACACCAACTGAGTTATATCAGCCAGGTTTGTAATGTGAACACCATGCATAGTGACTCACCATTTCGGTGCACTCTGAACTGATGTTAGGTGGTTGTAGGCAATCGGCAGAAAGTCCTGGGACTAGGTTTCGTGCCTGTTGACAGTCGTCAGTGAGGCATATCAGCAGTCTTGAAAGAATGTATGCACCTTTTGAGTTTCAAACCTGTGCTACACTCAGTGCTCGAGTAGCTCAGAAACACTGGGTGGCGCAGTTTCGAATTTCAGAAGGGATATGTATCCCATCGAAATAGTGGATGCATCTCAATGACTATTGTCTCCAATTATTTAGCATCGAATTCCTCAGGAGATGAAAGACAGTTAGACTTACAGGATTAATCACGTGCTTACATCAGTTAAAGAACCATTGCAAAACCCTGGACTCTGGATAGTGAACCAAAAATGTCCGCGAGTACAGTTCACACAACAGGAAATGCAGAAGACATTAAGAAACATTCTGACAGATACAATTTCTAATAGCCCGCTGATTTAATCAAACTACCGAAACATGAGATTATTTTACCTTTGTACTACCAGAGAAAACTATTTCAAATCTTTTAAACCATTAAAAGAGAAAGATTTTTGAGACAAACTACACTCACTTACACATACGCACACATGCATACATCAATTTAAAAATAGCCACATTTTTCTTCAAACATGAATGAATTGTCTCTTTAATTTTGTCAAAGATACACAAAAAAACAAAAAACAATAATCACTTAAATGACGTTCAGAATAGTGAGGTAGGGTTAGCGCTAGTCAGTTAGCTAGTTAGTTAGTCAGGACATATTTGATAAATCACATCACTAATTACACCTGACAATAAGTTCACATACCGATTAAAAAAGTCAGCCTAATTTTTCACGCTTTACCTGATGACTCTAAGCTACGGAAAATTAAAATAATGCTCATAAATTTTAATTTTTTCTTTTTACAAGTATATATATATATATATATCCTCCATCTAATCATTTTGTTCTGTGTGTTTCTGTGTAGAGGAAGAGAAATTTAATATATGTTGTATAGATTAATACAATTATATTAAAACAACCATTTCAAGGTCACACACACACGCATATAGACACATTGAACAGAAATAATTTCCTGCTGTAAAGCAGATAGATTCATCAAGGGCATACAAAAGTGTACATTTTAAAAATCACAGAGAAGAAGAAATCCACATCTTTCACCTTTATTATTATTATTATTAACGGGGACAGGAAAAATAACTCAATTATTATTATTTTTTTAAATTTTTTTTGAAAATATTGAAGCTTATGACTGCTCTAGAAATGAGTAGAATCACTCTCTGTGGAGAGTGATGGAGAGACATAAAGAGAGAGAGAGAGAGAGAAAAGCACCATCGTTGGCTGTTATAGTGTTAGACATAACAATATTGCAAAACTGAAATAAGCACATTTTGATGTAACCCTAGTTTAAATTATTTTGACAGTGTAATGTTAATTGGAAACAAAAAGCAATCAGAGGAATTGACATTATTACTATTACTACTATTGAATTTGATTAATTACCTTCATAATTTATATACACAGTGATTTTTTTCTACCAGCTCCAATCTGACTGTGTGTAACTGGGCAAAATATGATGTAGTAAGTACACATCTTCTCTGAATTCACCACACACACACACACTCACACGAAAGCAACCTTGTTTTAGCTGGGTGGAAATAGTTGAACAACTAATTAAGTGAGGAAGCACATGCTTGTTTAACTTTTTTTGTTTCCAACAAGTGACATGAAAATTGAATAATGCTGTAAAAGGAGATGAATTCACTTAGTGTACACCATATGAATTTCAGACTATATAATTAGTTAAAATGAGAAGAAAATAGTGTTGGCTTTTCTAACTATGACTAAGGTCTACGAACATTTATGAAGTAGTCTAAAAAGGAGATCGACAAAAATGAATTCATACATATACTATTACTACTGTGGTGAGAGCTGGCTGTTAGCCAAAATTGGTGGACAGTAATTTACGTCAATGTGTATGTTCCTAATATTGGTCGGGAGAAAAATGAGAACAAAGGCTTTGTGTAGGCGGGTACAGTTAACATATAGATGATCTGTTGCCTGGCCTTCATCTTCTGTTGTTACACCACTACTACTGAGGTCTGCAGCAGACGGTGGTCTGTTTAAATCTTAGGCTATCAACAACATTCAGCATTATAGTGCGTCTCATTTCATGTGTCCACGTTGTTTTAATCTAATGCTATTGTTTACTCCTTAGAGTATTTAAAATGTTTTCAGCTTGATAATTTGCAAATTTAGTAGAAATTCGAGAAAAATCATAACAGTAGATACCAATGTATTCTAACCAATGAGTTTACTATTCCTAACATTTTTAGTATAAACTGTGGTTGCGCCAGAAATGAAGCTAACTACCTGCACACTTTAGTCATTCCGTTTTGTCTTCCAGTTACAAAAAATTTACCCGTTTACTCTTTTAATTTGACTTTCAAAAATGTCGTATATTTCTCCCTTATGCGATTGATTTACGCTTCAGTGAGTCACATGACCTAATATTATTTACTAGTTAACTCGAAGATGCCGGAAGGAGACTTATTATGCAGTG